CTGTGGTAACTGTCATTCCTGTGGAGAGGCGGGAGCACAGCGCTGGCAGCCAGCGGCCGTGGGCGGCTGCACTGGTCATCTGGCAAACTGCGGCCGAGATACCTGCAGGCTGGGGGCTGAGCCTCAGCCCGGGCTTTGGCACCCCCGGGAGCTGCTCGGGCAAAGCCTGTGCCCAGGCGGAAGCAGGGATCTCCTTGTCTTGACTAATTCGCCCACAGTTACATTTAGTAACAGGGACCAGGAAGGAACAGAAACTGTGGAGCACTCGCCATAGGGTAACAGTTCTCTGAATTGTTCCCTATGCAAGAAAACAGAAATTGAAACTAAAAGTTTAAGGGAAAAGAGAATAATTGAGGTTTTTTGAAAATGTATGCGTATATGCATTGAAATGTACTCACCTTACCAATAAACAGTTGCTTCATACAATATAATACTTTGAAAAAAAAAAAAACCCCAAGTAAAATGTCTCCTGGAATCATTGCAAATATTTGTAGGGTTTGGGTGTCAGTTTGGCTAAGACATGACTGCTGCCTTGATATCAAAAGACAAAGTCAAAGAATCCTGCCACTGATATTATTAAAATAGTAAAATATAGAGAACTGAAAAACATAGTTTTCAAAGGCACAGGCATCTTTTATGGCAAATGGCAAAAAAAAAAAAATTAACGATGTAAGAGGTATATTGTGAGCCTCAGGGATGGAACAGATGGCACACTTTAAAAGAGAAGTATAGATCAAAAAGAGTAAACCTTGGCAGGGTCAGAGGAAGAGCGAGGTAGAAGAGGGACCACAAAAGGTCACTTAATCCATTCCCTTGCCCCAGGCAGGATGGAGTGTACCTAAATCACTCCTCAAGACGAGTGTCTAACCTTGATTTAGAAACCGTCAGTCCTTTTTTTTCCTCCAAGTCCAGCCTGAATCTCTCTCTCTCTCTGCAGTTTAAGCCTTCTTGTCCTCACCACCATAAATACAGAGACAAGATTATTCCCTGCTCTTTATAGTGTCCTTAAGTCTTGGAAGATCATTGCTGTGCTTCTGGAGGAAGCATTGGCAGGCATTGGCAGGCTGCTTCCAGTTCTTTCCATCGTTTCATCCCCATCACCGTCCCTGGGGCTCCCGTCCCACTTTCCGTGTCCCGGCAGGCTGACACTGGTGTCCCTGCGCACACTCCACTACCTGGCAGCCTGCCTGCCTCTGGTATGTTTAGGTGCATGTCCTTCTCTTTTTCTGTCCCTTAGGTTAGTGCCACATTGTTTTGTTGAGACTCCTTCGCCTGTGGCCCTAGATGTGTGTCCTGGCAAGGGACACATTTATGTTATGTCTTGTCTGTATTACGGTAGCTCCTTTTTCTGCACTGCTCCCGTCGGCGTCACCAGCGTGGCGGGACAGACACCTGCCCATGTGACACGTGGCAGAGCAGAACTGCCGCCTCGGGGATGGGTTTGCTGGTCTCGAAGGGACAGGGTCGCTTTGGAGCCAGGGGAGGCTCAGAGCAGCACCCGTCCATCGCGGTGGGTGCCGGTAACCTGCTCTTGCCGAAGCGTGTGCTGGCTGCCCTGGGGGCAGCGGGGACACACCCGCCCAGGGCCCGTGGGAGCACCACGCCAGACGGCACAGCTCCCCGGGGACCCCAGCGGCAGCCGGCAGCCTTCGGGCTCGCCTTGTTGGGACCAAGCTGGCAAAAATTACCGGTTTGCAATGCGCTTTATTTGCCAAGGAGTGGGGAACGGGATGAAAGCACGGTCTTTTTGCCTGCTCTGGAGAGAAGATCAGTACTATTGCCTCATTAGAGGAAAAGCATTTTTGGGGGGGGTCTGGAAAGAACAGTATTATAATGGATAATGCAGTTTGAGGACACTTGTGCTGACGACCTCGTGCTGCAGGCCGGGCGGCGTGCAATGCGCTTTATTTGCCAAGGAGTGGGGAACGGGATGAAAGCACGGTCTTTTTGCCTGCTCTGGAGAGAAGATCAGTACTATTGCCTCATTAGAGGAAAAGCATTTTTGGGGGGGGTCTGGAAAGAACAGTATTATAATGGATAATGCAGTTTGAGGACACTTGTGCTGACGACCTCGTGCTGCAGGCCGGGCGGCGAGCGGCGGTGTCGGCAGGGCTGTTTTGCCGGAGACATTTACTCGCTTCC